CCCTCCTGGTGGTCCTGAGCCTGACCCCCCCATGGTGCTGAGCCCTCCTGGTGGTCCTGAGCCTGACCCCCCCCCGGTTGCCAGCCCTCCGTCCTGTTGGTCCTGAGCCTGCCCCCCCCACGGTGCTGAGCCCTCCCGGTGGTCCTGAGCCTGACCCCCCCATGGTGCTGAGCCCTCCTGGTGGTCCTGAGCCTGACCCCCCCCCTTTTAGTTTCTGAGCTGCTCACACTGTGCTGGAAGAACCTTATTCACCTTCTTGACCTTATTCATGTCAGACTGTGTGTGCCCACAGGACCCAACGTTGTGTGTCACCTGTGTCGTGTCCACCCGACACGCTGCCTCCCAGACATTCCAGGATCTTCTAGCAGAGCAGTTACCTGCCTCACAGGGTTGTTCTTTACTTCACAGCTATTTTTAACCCACGGGTTCACTTACCTGGCTTGTTGTCTCCTGGTTTTCTGTTGGTGCCACCTCTCACTGGAGCAGTACCTGGCGCTGTGGTGTTGCAGCCTCTGGCACTCAGAGGAGCAGAGAGTGGCCTCCATCTGCATGGCTGTGGCTCAGCATTGCTCCTCTTGCTGTCCTTGGTGAACAAGTTTTGAGGCAAAGGCATCAAGGTTCCCTTCCACTGCCCTAGATAAGCTTTTCCAGAACACAGTTTTACCCCTGTTCCATGACCTTCTCTCCGTTGTGGTGTTCCCTGTGCCATGGGTTGTCTTGTGTGAGCAGATGTGTTTGTAGTGCTCCTGGAATGGGGAGAGGGAACGGCTCCATTTACAGACAGGGACTGGGGGCAGAAGGTTGGTTGGGGATCACAGAGCTGCCCTGGAGAAACCCTTCCAGATACACCAGGGATTTCTTTCTGTCCATGTCTCCTGTGGTCAGGTGCTTCTTGCCATTCCCAAGTCTGTTTTTTGTGGTGTTCTCCCCCAGGGTCATGGCAGGGTTCTTCGAGGGAGGGTTAATTTGGGTGGTGACAGCAGCTGCTCCGTGCTGGCTGGGAGGGTTTGTTGGAGGGTGGGCAAGCCCTGTGCTCTCTCTCCACTGTCACTTTCTGTTTTAGGGAAGCAATGATGAAATGTCAGACAACGAAGAGGAGATCGAGGAGAAATCTGAGAGTGAAGGGAGTGACTATTCCCCCAACAAAAAGAAGAAGAAAAAACTGAAGGAGAAGAAGGAGAAAAAAACAAAACGGAAAAAGAAGGAAGAGGAGGAAGACGACAACGAGGATGGAAATCTAAAGGTACCAGAGATTCCTTTACCCCCAGCTGGTGCTAGAGCCTGAGACCTCAGGGTGCGGCCAGGTCCCTGCGTGTTACCTGCTCCCAGGCCGAGCTGTGTGCTCTGGCTGTTCACCTGGTGCTGGTGAAACTTCCCTGTGTAAAGCAGCAGTGTCAGTGAAGTGTTCTGTGGGGGGCTGGGGCTTTAGCCACGTGGTGCCGTGTGCTCACAAGTCCTCACGGTACCTTTCGTGGTGACGAAGCCCCAGGGTGTTTCACTTTGAGGCCAGGGGCGTAGGCAGGTAGCTTGGGTCTTCTGACAGGCGGCAACTTCTCAGCCTGAGGCAGCTCTTGCCTTATGGATTGTCTGTCTGCATCCCACCAGTACCAGATTCATCGTGTCTGTCCTCTGAACACGAGGACAGAGAGTGACAGAGCAGCTTGTGCTTAGAGAAGGGGCCTGGGGCTTTCATGAGAAGCTTGTCCTGGCTTTGGTGAGGAGGAGATCGGAGGTGAACGACTGGGAGAGGAAAGGTCGTGTTTCCCTGTTGTTTCTCTTCCATGCAGAGAGAAATCAAGTTTCTTGGAGATGTGAAACCTGCCAAGGCTTTGTGTTGTATTGGGTGGCACGGGGAGCATTTGGATGGTGCCGTGTTGTGGAGTCTCCTTCTCTGGAGACATTCAAAACCCACCTGGACACCTTCCTGTGTGATCTCATTTAGGTTCCTGCTCTGGCAGGGGGGTTGGACTGGATGATCTTTCGAGGTCCCTTCCAATCCCTGACATGCTGTGATTCTGTGTAATTTCCTTCTTGGGAGAGTGTGAAGCATTAGTTTATGAAGCAGCTGTGTGTGCTCTGGTTTGTGGATCACAGGGACAGATCCCTGCGTGTTGCTGACGAGGGAGAGGGTTTGATACAGAGCATGTGACAGACCCAGCCTCGTGCTGCTCATCTGCAGAGCCGTGGTCATTCCTGTTCATCATGTCTCTCTGTAAATCCACAGGAGCCCAAGAGCTCAGCCCAGCTGATGGAGGAATGGGGCCTCGATGATGTAGATTACGTTTTCTCAGAAGAAGATTATCACACTCTGACTAATTACAAGGCTTTCAGCCAGTTTCTCAGGTAGGAAACTGTAGGTCTGGGCGGGGCCTTGGGTGGTGGTGGAGGTTTGGGTGTTGCTCAGTCAGGTGGGTGAAGCTGTGAAGTAGATTCTGCATCGTGAGCTCCGTGTTGCCTCTCCCCACTGGGCTCTGTTCTCAGCATTTCCTGGGCTGAAGGACCAGCCCACGACGGGCAGGAGCAGACACGTGGGGAAGCCTTTCTGTTAACCCTTGGTTTTCCCTCTCCTCTACCCTGCAGGCCTCTGATTGCCAAGAAGAACCCCAAGATCCCCATGTCCAAGATGATGACCGTGCTCGGTGCCAAGTGGCGAGAGTTCAGTGCCAACAACCCGTTCAAGGGCAGCTCGGCAGCCGCGGCGGCAGCGGCCATTGCTGCAGCGGTGGAGACCGTCACCGTCGCCGCGCCGCTCGCCGCCAGCCCTCAGCAGTCGGCGTTGCCCACTGTCATCAGGAAGGCCAAGACCAAGGAGGGCAAGGGTAGGTGCCAGCCGTGGTGGGCTGGGCGGAGAGGCTGCTCTCACTGGCATGTGGCCCACCTG